AAGCACTTCTACTATTGTTCAGATTTCAATAGGCTTCATCTTATTTTTTCTATAAAAGCCATGTTGCTATCACAACTGTAGGACATGTTAAGCCATGATGCCTCCTACTTCTGCAAAAGCACCCTAGCACTACGTCACTCACATGAGTGAGGACTCGGAAATGAGAAAGCCCAACATAAATACATAATAGTTCTAAAAATACATGCAAATATGTATTTGTAAATATTTGTATGTATAATGGTTGCATTTGTACGTATAACAGTTGTTCCAGAGAGCTTATAACAGTTCATCTCAAAAGAATGATTCCTGACCTACAGATGTCTCTAAAAACTTTACATTTGAATGTTTACGTAGTATAAACTATCCTAACTGTGTTCATTGACGAGTAATAACTATTTCCTTTTTGACAAAATGAGGATATTGAGTGAGAAATTTTAGGTAGCATCTCTACTCTGATCGCATGGCTGTAGAGGGATTAAAAATGTGGACCTCTTGCCTCAATGGCTTAAATAATTACACTAAAATATGCATACTCACCCAACCAGTGATCTTTTAAAATTATTTTACAAGTTGGAGTTTCAGATTATTTGTGAACTTTAGCTCCAGCCCATGTTTAGGTTTCTCTCTCTCTCTCTCTCTCTCTCTCTCTCTCTCTCTCTCTCTCTCAGTAGATAAGATATAGGAGCACTATGAATAATTATTTGTGATTAATTACTTCATAAATGAAGAGATAAAAATGTCCCCAAATGGATGTTCAAAAGTAAAAAGCAATATGAAAATAAGGGGCTATCTAACCCCTAAAACCAAAAGATATTTCCATCCTCTCCAGTTCTCCGTATTGGAGCCACATTTCCTCCCTTGGTTCCTTACTTTTTACATTCTTTCTAGTATTACATCTCTTTTCTCTGTATTTGCTTTACTTCTTGTTAGACTGCATCCTTTCAAACTTTTTAAATGAACATCTGTGGTTGAGAACTCTCTTCATCTTGGTATGTCTGAAAATACCGTATTTTACTCTCATTCTGGATAGCTAAACAAATGAGTACATGGTCAAGGTATCAGTGTTTCTATTCAAAGGGTGACTTGTTTACAATTTGGTTCTTGAGCAGGAAGAGAGTTTTGCACCAAAGAAGTTTTGAAATGGTTTTTCCAGCATGAGATCCCAGAAGGACAGCAGTGAAGGAGAACTGAGACACAGAGGCTCAGGAAAAAGAGAGCATTTCAGAGGCACAGGCAGCATTTTGGAGGAAGACATGGCTATCTGAATAACCCAACTAAGAATCTTTACTTAAAGTCTAAACTTATGACAAATACACACAGATTATGATTGTGTCTAACAGCCATGAAACTAGTGAGGCATGAATGCAAATGTTTTTGTTTTTGTTTTATTTATTCATTTTTTGTTTGTTTGTTTTATAACCCATGCAAGGTAACACACTGACTTTCAGTTTAAACTAGGTCTCTTCTGATCAGTTCAGAATTTCCTCCTTCTTTTCCTCTTCCTTTCTCTCCTGGGATAATATTCTGGTGTCAGGAGAAAGACATCCATGGATGAAGCCTCCACAGTGGTAGCTTCTGCCAAGATGTACAATCATTGCTGGCCTATGGGCATCAGTACTCAGCCCTGCTTTGCCCACACTGAAATAGCCACGTCCCACTCTCCTCTCTGGTAACCAGGTGCACATAGATCACACGGATTCTTTGTTTTCTCAGTGGCCAAAGACTATCTGCCTGGGTCAGGTCTGGTCTCCACCACCTCTCAGGGATATGGGAAACTGCCTGTCCCTCATTCTGTGCTCTTCCTTTTCTCTCTTTTTGCTCTGATTGCTTCAGAACTCATAGAATCTTTTTGTCTCCCGAAGCCCAGTTCTCCTTTCGGAACCAGCTGAAAACATGTCACGACTTAGGCATTTGGTATCAGCATTATGCTTCTCTTGTCTTCCCTTAGCAGTTCCACCTCACCAAAGCACATGATTCACAGCCCTCAGGAAATGGCTCTGGGCACAGATACCAGCATCTGGATAATCTCTTAAAATTGTGTGTGTGTGTGTGTGTGTGTGTGTGTGTGTGTGTGTGTCTCATTGTTATAGAAGAATGGGCCAATGAAGAGGTATCTTTTCTGAACATTTTTTAAAGTTCTGAGCTCTCTACCCCAAAGGGTTATTACAGGCTGTTGTGATACACAACCAAAGAAGAAATTGCTAAGTACCCAGAACTCAATTCCCACGCAGGCTTTCTTCTTGTACAAACACCTGGCTTAAGAGGTGTTCCAAATACTGTAAAAATATAGGTATTTGGGGCAAGGAAGAAGAGTTTTCCTCCTGGTATGGGAAAGGGAAGAGGTTATATAAACTCCCTAGGTATCAGTTCCTGTACCACCAAATGCCTGTAGAAGTGAGAAGATATTCATGGATGACTCAGCATGTGAAGAGAACTGAACTTTGAGATCAAAGGCATTAAAGACCATCATAAAATATCTCCATGCCCAAGCTTGCACAGAAGGGATAGTGCCACTCTCTCCCAACTGCAATGATGACTTGAGATTGCTTTAGACTCTCCAAATTCTCACCAGATCCTTAGTAGGAAATAGCCTCTCCAAACACAAAGCCAAGATAGAATTTCCTGGAAAAAAAATATTTGTAGGAAATCAAAGGGCGGTAGGGAGGACTCGTCCTAATAACTGATTTATAACTGATTTAGAATCTTTGAGGAAATGTGATATTTTAAAAGCCAGATGTATTATGAGATAAAATTTATACCTGCTACAACTAGAACATTATGCCAAACACAGTATTTGCTAATACACATCATCTAATGCAGAGCAACTTTTACAAGTTCCTACTCTAATATGGAGAGGATTTTTGTTTTTGTTATCAAACATGTTTAATTTGTATTTTGCGGTACAAAAGTTTCAAATTAACAGAGACCAATTCCCTGTTATTCCATTCTTTTGAAATAGAGACAATTTGAAAAAATGGCGGTCATAATAAGCAATGGCTTTGTCTTATCAACAGCTGGATATTCTCAAATTCAGCAGTTCAGGACTCACTTTGCATTTCTGTTAGAGGAATACACTGGACCCCTATTATCATTACATTTATTTTCCGAACTAGCCCCTCAGCCCACCCGTGCCTGTCTGGAAACTGCTTACCCTGTCCATGTTTCCTGTGTGTGCAGCCAGCTGAATGGTGGACCTGGCCAGAGCTGACTGCATTAGGGGATGGCAACTGATCCAACTGAACCCATCCATCCTCACCCCAGGAATTTTGAAATTTGGACAAGAAGAAAGAGATGGAACTCACTCTCTTTGTCGAGAGAAGCTGAAAAACCCAGCAATCCATAGCAGTAATTTCCACCTTCAATCACCCATCGGGATTCCCAGAGGAGCTTTTAAAATATGCTCGTGCCTGGGCCCCACTTCAGAACCATTGAAATCGAATTTCTGGGGCTGAGACTCAGACACTAATATGTTGCCCCAAACTTTTCATCTTGAATAATTTAATTACAACTGAAAAATGGAAAGAATAGAACAGTGAACACTTACATTTCCCTTCGCCTAGATTGTGCTGTTAACATTAGGATAAACGGTCTTTTAAATTCCACAGATGATATTAATATACAAAACTGAGGAAAAAAATCCCTAGGTGATATTAATATGTGATTGAGAACATCTCAACGGTAGAAAGAAGGACAGAGCAAAAGGAAGCAGATGCACCAAGAGGGGCAAAGATCATAAAGAGAGTCCCGAGGCCTCTCAGACCCCTGTGTCTCACACCCTGGATTCTAGGAGATCTCTGAGTATTACTAAAATAGAATCACCTTTGGGGCTTTAGCTAACGAGTTGTTCATTGCAGTCAAAATATTCAGGAATAATAGGCAGAAACAGTAGGTTCTATAGCGTCATCCCTAAATAAAAATAAAAACAGGGGTTTTACTGGCCTGAGAGATGGCTCTTATGTTAAAAGAAATATATAAAAATAACAAACTCAGAAGCCATCAATTCCTAAGATAATGGGACTGATAGACCATGTGCTGAACTATGGGTTTTTGGAAGTAGCCACTGTCTCCTGAGATAGACTGTTGCCCACTACTGAATTAAGTCAAATCTCACACACACACACTAGCAGTACCAAGTGGGGAAGGTGGCTGTGGGCCTGGTCTGCCCATATCACTGACCCATATCACTGACATGGGTTAGAATTACCAGAACATGCTGATGATAAAGAAGACTGATTTTCAGTTGGTTCTATTATCTTTTAGACATACTTAAAAATATTATCCTCTATAGGAACTGCACCCTGTTAATGCTTGAACCCAGGGCACATGACTTCCACTGACAAACCCTGTGCTCTCCTCCCATGTCCAATTTTAGAAAGAGCAACCAGTTACCAGGCCTGGTAACTGAATCCCCTGATCTCATTATCTGTGAAGAAGAGGTCTGATTTCTGTTTACACATTTCTATTCATTTTTCAAAAAAGACAATGATGTTGTAACTCTATATTATGCAAATATTGTTAGAACAGGATTGTGGCTACATTATTTTAGGATACCATCGCTAAGGACACAAAGTACAAGTCTTGCGGTCTTTTAAGGCTAACCACTTGCCCGGAAATATATTTGAAATTATGTATTTGAACTACGAATAAGTGGATTTTTCGAAACTATAGGTGTATGAATGAATTTTGAAAGAGGAAATGTAATAAACCAAAGTGTGAGAAAAATTCAAGCCTCACTTTCATCTGCCAGTTCGCTTTAAGAGGCAAAAACACATTTTGTCAAATTTCAAAGGATAAACATTTTTAAGCAAAACTAAACTTTTAAAATTCACATTCAACAAATACTGACAAAGAATCAGAAAAAACAAATGAATGAAACATCAATTATACTATTTTAAAGAATAGTATAAAAAACAACGGAACTGTAGTTACATCCCCACAATACGAAGAATGACACAATGAAGACAAGCTTAAGAACTGAGAGAAATCTCCCGAAAGTCTACCTTCCTCTTGAGAAGGTCTCATCTGAGAAGAATGTGTAAGTCCAAGAGTTTTCATTGCCATAGGTTAGTCGTTGGTGCAAGATTTTTTGAGAAGGTGTAAAAATATTCCTCAGTTTCAAGAAGGATTTGAGGCTAGTGATATCTTCATAATAAGCCAAAATTGTAGATAAAACATTACAAGGCCTGATGAGGGAAAATAATCATAAAAATGTTCATTAACTTCTGTATTTATACCTAGTAACTTGGAGATGATCAGAAAAAAAAAAATGTTATTTAGAGGTTCCCATTTCCTATATTATGATCTTTGGATAAAATTAGTGGAGCACAGAATAACAGAGAAGAATAAATGAAAACAAAAGTATTTTTATACAGACTTGTGCTCTTATTATATAAAGTGCCTCAAAGTTAACAAATTCCTTCTTATTCACTGTACATGTTCCCTTATTCACTGTATACATTCACTTATTCACTACATATGTTATTAATTAAACCCCAAATTACCAAAGCCTCATACATACAGAATCATGAGTGGCTGGTCATCTCTGAAATTCCTCTCCAAAGAAAGCCATTGGAAGAAGGAGGACCTGGGACTACTCACTGTGGCTGGCCAAAGACAAAGTCACCGGCAAATTTGCCCCACTCCCTGGCAGCTGGAGATATGGACATTACTGGCTCTCCTCCGTCATACCTTGCTACAAATCAGCAGGCTGGGCTCTTGTACGAATGAGAGTCAAGTTAGCCCCGAATGGCAGCTCCCCAGGCTGGGCCCTGCGTTCCCACAGGCAGTCAGCCCCATGTGCAGGAGTGCTGCAGCCTGACAGACAAGTCCTGCATGGGAGTAGCTCCTGCAGTGGGAGGGGCACTGCACTGGAGAATGGATGAGTCACACTGGGTGACAGACACGGACTCTCACAAAAAGCAAAGGCTCCTGTCTTGGGCAAGGGATTCAAGACTGTGGTGGTAGCACAGGATATATGATACATGGCTGTAGCTCCTTTGTTCTTACAAATCAGCCTGAGCCTAAAGATGAAATTTGGAAACCACGAGTGCCTCTGCTTGGGGCTCTGGTACTGGCTGGCTGGCGTTCTGGTCACTAGGATTATGGTGGTATGGTTCCCTAATCATTCCTATCAGTCCCCAGTTGCAAGCACAAGGTAGTATTGCGATTTTTCACCTCCTTGTGGTCAGTGGGGCATGCAAGTAATTCTGCATGGTGCCGGCAATTCAGAATAATAGTTACTCCATCAGACTGGGTCCCTGAGTGATCGTGATAAGAAGAGGTCCCTGCTAACATATGATAATCATAAGAAAGGATTACTTCTGGCCGGGCACGGTGGCTCACGCCTGTAATCCCAGCACTTTGGGAGGCCGAGGCGGGTGGATCATGAGGTCAGGAGATTGAGACCATCCTAGTTAACATGATGAAATCCTGTCTCTACTAAATATATATATATATATATATATAAAATTAGTCAGGCATGGTGGCAGGCGCCTGTAGTCCCAGCTACTCTGGAGGCTGGAGCAGGAGTATGGTGTGAACCTGGGAGGCGGGGCTTGTGGTGAGCCAGAATCCCACCACTGCACTCCAACCTGGGTGACAGAGCAAGACTCAGTCACAAAAAAAAAAAAAAAGAAAAAGAAAAAAAGAAAAGATTACTTCTTACTATTCTTAGTCCCTGAGATTTGGGAGCTATTTGTCACCTCAGCATAACCTACCCTACACTGACTGATACAAGGACAAAGACTCTCAAAAAGCAACATGGTCAGTGACATATCTTTTTTTAAATTTGAAACACTCAAAAATTCTTGCTTTTTTTGTATTTATGAACTTCTTAGCTTCCCCAATCCCATGTTTGAAAAGCTATATTTATCTAGAGCATGGCATTTTTCAAAATCCTCATGAAGTTCTCATAATATACTGAAAGGCACCCCTTAATTTTAATCTCAGCATTCTCCCTTCCTCATTTTGTTTCCTTGGTTAGTCTTGATCTTCTAGGAAGTGACCAGGGAAGGATGGGAAAGTTCCAAGCTGCTGTGAGTACTGTGTTGCTATTTTTCTCTAGTTCTAGGTTTGTGAATCCCTTTGAGGACTGAACACTCCTCTTAAAATTCACTCAAGTCTGCTCCTCAGATGGGAAAATTTCATCTCTTAAAAAATATAGGTTGGCCACAGAGCCTCACATCTGTAATCCCAGTACTTTGGGAGGCTGAGGCAGGAATGCTTGAGGCCAGGAGTTCAAGACTAGCCTGAGCAACATAATGATACCTGGTCTCTACTAAAAAAAAAAAAAAAAAAAAAAAAATTAGCTGGGCATGGTGGTACACACCTGTAGCCCTGGCCACTCAGGAGGTTGACATGGTGACATGGGAGGATCACTTGAGCCCAGGAGATTGAGGCTATAGTGAGTGGAGATTGTGCCACTGGACTCCAGCCAGGGTGACAGGGTAAGACCCTGTCTCAAAAAAAAAAAAATATATATATATATATATATATGTGTGTGTATATATATATGTGTGTGTGTGTGTGTGTGTGTATATATATGCACTTTATTTTTTTAGAGTGGTTTTAGGTTTACAGCAAAATTGAGGCAAAAGTACAGAGATTTCCCAAATATCCCTATCCCCCCCATACACACAACCTCCCCCACTATCAACATCTCACAGTAGGTGATGCATTTGTTACAACTGGTGAGTCTACACTAGCACATCCTCACCAGCTGCATTGTCATTATGTATATACAAAATGCCCAGTGTGCCATGCATCTGTGGATATATCAATTCATATAAAATATGACCCCTAACCTCCCAGAGTTCACACTTCTTGTTGGAAGAAGAAAACACATAAATATGAAAAGTATACAAGATCTTCTCTACCAATAGCTGAGGCAGTCACTCCCAACAAGGGAGGAGTTGACGGAGGCTGGGCTGGTCAGGAGCCACTTCATGGAGAATACAGGGACAGACCAGGCCTTGAAGGATATGTCTTATTTACACTGATGAGCGAAGTTTTGGCAGCAGGAGAGACTGTTCAATGGTTAATGATTCACTTGTTCAGTAAACGTTTATTGAGCATCTACCAGAGATCAGGAATGTAAAAAATGGAAGTGTTCTTGAAGATCGTCCAAGCCCAGCCCTGCACAGCACAAATGAGGAAGCCAACCCAGCTATTATTTCCAGAGCTGGGACTCCCAACTTTTGAAAAGGCAGGTGCTTGTACTGGCCTAAACCAAATGAAGCAGGACTCCCAGCCATGGCTCCAGCCTCATCCCCAGTCACTCTCTGACTCACACATCATCCTCTGGTGATGCTGTACTGATGGTTTCATCACATTTTTTCAAGCCTGCAAGCCTTCATGCCTGCTGTGTGTGCCCTGTGCCTAAGGGACATCCTTCCCACCTCTGTTCCCTGGCTGACTCCTTGTACTCAGTCAGATTCAACCTAATTCTCTTCTTGAGCAGGTCTCCTCCAAAGCCCTAGGTGAAACTGAGTACCCATTCTTTTGCATACATCTGCCTTATCGCTGATTTTGTAATGCTGGAATCCAAATCCTCCCCTCTGCAATCATCTCCATGAAGGCTGTGGCCTGCCTTGTCCTGCTGATCTTGCTCCAGCCATACAAACTGGCTCACATTGCTTTTCCTCTCCACTGGGCTTTGCTGTAGACTGAAAGTCCTCCACCCCTCTCCACCCATAGCTTCATCTGGCTGACTCATTCTCGTCCTCAAGTGCCTCTTCCCCTGTTAGCCCTTCCTGGCCATCTACTCTGGCCTAGCTTCTCCCTTTGTGCCACCATGGGACGTGGTGCACAAGACTGGCACCACCTCATCGTCTAGGTTCTGGTTCAAATGTCATCTCCTCAGGGAAGCATTCTCTGAGGTGGCAATCATTATTTACCTACCCCAGTCCACAATGCCTTCTTCCTTGCCCAAAACTCAGATTTGATGGCCCATGATTATTTTGAATGAACTGTGGTAATATAGTTCTTCATTGGTCACGAAACTACATGTAGGCAGGTCACCATTTCTGTTTGATGAATTTTAGGGGGAAGTCCGCTAGGGGGTGTGAAAGCTTCTAGAAAGAACCTTTCTCTGATAATTAAGACAGCTACACTAGGGAGAAAAAATGTTATCTTGTCCCCTCTCTCCCACCCCTTTTTCCCTTCTGGCTTTGGAAATTGAGAGGATGTAGTATCTGCAGCTATGGCAGTCATTCTGCAGCCATGAGGAAAATGTCAATGTGTTGCGAATGGGGGAACAGAGAGATGGAAAAACTCTTGAACTTTGATGACATAACTGAATTACTAAATCCATACTGGGATTGATAACCTCTGGGCTTTTAAAATAAATAATTAGTGTCTCGAGGGCTTAGGCCACTGTTAGACTTTCTGTTTCTGCGACCAAAATAGCTTAATTTGGCCAGGCACAGTGGCTCACGCCTGTAATCACAGCACTTTGGGAGGCCGAGGTGGGTGGATCACCTGAGGTCAGGAGATCTGACATGGCAAAACCTTGTCTCTACAAAAAATACAAAAATTTGCTGGGCTTGGTGGCACACTCCTATAACCCCAGCTACTCAGGAGGCTGAGGCATGAGAGTTGCTTGAGATCGCGCCACTACACTGCAGACTGGGTAAGAAGAGCGAAACTCTGTGTCAAAGAAAAAAAATATATAGCTTAATTTATACTCTTAACATTCAATCTAAAGTAATACCCAGTCATTCTCTATAACATTTCACTGTTTTCCTCAGTCTATCACTAGTCAAAAGTATCATGCTTAGTGGTGTGCTATTGGTCAATTTACCTATCTCACTAAAAGGTAAGGAGGACCACGGAGGTAGGGACTTGGTAATTTTGTCACTGCAAATAGCACTAGGTGCTATTTCTGGCACCTAGAACAATGCCTGGCACTCAGTAGAAGTCCAATAAATACATGTTACGTAAGTTATTGGATGAAAGAATACTTCTGGTGTCAATTCTTTCTTGTCTGTTTTTTAAATCAGACTGTGGGCTCTTCAACATCAGATAATTCATTTTGTATTTTTATTTCCTCAAAACCCAATAGACTGCTTGGCATATAGCAGGTAATTATTAAATGTTCTGTGAATGAATACACATGTTCCCTATCCTTTCTTCAATAGTCACCCAGGACATGACTCATGATCATTCAGTATTGGACATCTATCGGAAAAGGTGATTGATAAAGGAATTCTGAACTGTTGTTTCATGAGTATTAAGCTTACAAGAGAAATTTATGATACAATCTTAATTTGGCAAAACATCTTAGACTAGCCATGTGGACCAAAATTCCAGATTAAACTCGTCCGATAATGAAGAGCTGATCTCCACAGGAAGCAGTTTTTCTAGTCCCATTGCAATTGTATTTTTCCCTAAGTGGGCCAAAATATGCCTGTTATTGACAGCTATTGTCAACTTTATAGCTCTCTCTCAACTTTATTCATCTTCTTTAAAACCCAAACCTGAAACAAATGCCCTCTCCATGTCTGTACACAAGCAGCTGAACTTGGCAGGTATAAAATTACAGAACAAAGCCATCTACCATACCTCATTCACTGTGAGGTGCCATTGATTATGATATGCCCGTTGTTTTATGATCCATAAAGAAAACAATGGTGGCAATTAAACTATGAAACAATGCGAGGAAACCAACAACACTAGGAAACTACGGAACAGTGCTAGAATGCATCCCAAATTCTGAGGTTAAAACATGTGCATCTTGTGCATCTTAGAATAAAATATAACATGGTAGTTTCACTTTAAAATAATAAATACAAAATTCCACACAGCTGGTCAACCCTGATATGATTCACTGG